AGAATTTATCCTGGTACCTGACGTTAACGTTAAAAATACTCCTGTTATTTCAAAGACGGAAATATGAAAAATATGTGTACACATTTCCTCAGATATCGTAAAAAATATGGTTTAAAAGAACGAAACAGCTTCCGAGAAGAATCCAGCTGTACAACCGGCAAATAAAACTTAAATCTCTGTTCAATGATCGTCGACCCACAAATTAGTCGGCATTTGTCATTCAATCGTTGCTCCAGCGGCTTATTCAACTCGTTAGGCAACGGATGCTCTTTCATGCGGCGACAATCGAGCCCCGCCAATAGAATAATAATAAGAAACGAAGGAAATCACGAGTTTCGAATATTATCGCGAACCGTTGGCTCGAATTCGTCGCGAGTCGCCAATTAAATTCAATTGATCGTAGGTGCTACTCGTTCTTGGGCGAATTACGAGGACGGGCGTCGTCCAATCGGTGCCCGCGATGCTCCCGTCAATTTACGGGTGATGTAATGACCCTCAATCATCATGGAAATGGATAATTTGCTAATGACTAAGTAGGAAAAGACACGAATTGTGCTTAATACGCTTTCGGTCTCGATTCTTCTCGATACAAAATTAATTTTTATGCACGTTGAAAATAATATAATTTTTGTTTTAAATGTTACATATCATTAAGTAGTATACTTTATATTATTTTCTTTATTGTGGGACTTATTGATATATCCAAAAATATAAGTGATGGATTGTAGGATTTAAAATGACATGTAATATAATCGTCTTGTTACAATTATTTTGCAAATACGTAACTATTGTATGTGTTTGATTAGGTTATGTGAGCTTCATAAATATTGAGATCAGCTACCACTTCGATTCATCAAACATTCTAAAATATTTTGTATACAATGACTAAGACTCTGTGACGAGGTGTAAATAGAAATATCTATTATGTGAAAATTCCAACATCCGAAAATTTTCAAATTCAGAATGTTGAATTTGTACTAAGAATACTTGGGAACTTGAAGACGGAAATTAAATTTGACAACTTGCAAGTTTAGAAATATTGAAAAATTCAGAAATATAAAAATGTCAAGAAATTGACTACCCAGTATAAAACCAATAATCGCCAAATAAAGGAACTCGACTCAATTTCTAAAAATAACTGTACATCGCATATTTGGATACGCTAATGACAGCTGACTCATAACACCACTAATTGCAGCGTTCAACGTTTCTGAATAAACCCAGTTTCAAAAATGCTTCTCAACAATCACAGCATCGAAAATATCTTGTGGGAAAAGCACTCGAAGAATATATAAATTTCTAAACAAAATTTTTTCCAGCATACTACGGAAAGCTATCGCGAAACAATCGCTTTCATAGAATGAAAAGCATTCATCGAGCAAGAGCATTAACGTTCCGTGAATTCACGGCCATTTACACGGTAATGCGAGCAACGTGCTCTTCGACCTCTTTGCGAATTGGTTGAACGTTCGCATAATTAAATACTGCCGGCATTCAAAAGCATAATCGCGAGAAATCGCTTCGACGAAGGCCGTCGTCCGAGGAAATGGCGATGGAAGGAATACGCGGACGGAATAGCCGATTTCAACGAAACCTTGAATAACCTGCTTCGCCTATCGCTGTTTGCGTTTGTCATTTTCGAGCGACGCTGGACGAAAACATTTCGTTTAGCACTGAACACTAGTTTCATAAAAATTCTAATATTCGAAGATTTAAACTACTGTGTTAATTATCGGTAAAGATACGGAGAGAAGCTTTTAGTTTCCTATAAAATTTTGGGGTATAAGAAAATTATGAGAGGTTATGTAACACATACGTTGATGTAGGTTGTACTCAGAGTCACATTAGACCGTTTGGTACACTAGATATTGAAAAAAGTTACATTCTAGTTTCTATATAAACAAGAATGATATACAGGAAGAATTAATATAATTTCTGAAGTTATTCTAATTTATATTATTATACTTTAAAATTATAAAAAGAAAGTTAAAATAAGATCTCATAAAGTATGTACTTATTCCGGAAAATTTTTTATTATTTCACAGTTTTCAATCGGATAACAAATAACGTATATAAAGTTTAGATTATTATGTTATGTCCAGTGGAGTTTTATCGTTCAAATCCATTAAACGAATCTCAAATAAATGCAACACAGCAGGCAAACATAATCAGACCTGCATGATAAGACTCTCGTTGATTTTCATTTGTCAGGTACATTTTATTTGTGGTGAATGGCTTTCACCGAGAAAAAAGGTGTTCGTTAAATAGATGATCGAACAAAGAGTTCAAGTTTGGAAGAACGCTTTCTTCGGAAGAATCGAAAAAGGAGCACGATCGAAAGTTGATTGTTATTCGTTCGCACGGTCGTGAAAATCGAATTGTATATTTATCCAGATGCTCGCTATATTTCGTGGCTGGATTATAACATAACACATGCGGGACAAGACCTGTGCCGTGGCCAAACTTAGAATCGACCCTAAAAATACCAGAATTGCGAGCCAGAAATAATTTTCAGGCAACACGATTTCTACGAGGAAGATGAGCCCACAATGCACGTTTAATAGGCGTCGATTCAAATATCATTATGAATCAATTGATCGAACGATCGTTAGAGCCGCAGTGTCGTGCGCTATGAAATTCTGCATTTTCATGCAGTTCTTATCGAGATTGACGCACTAAGTACATATGTGCGCGATGTTTGTGCGTAATTCACCGAGGGGAAAATATCTCTAACTTTCTTCGTCGATGTTTTCTCTGAAGGAATGCGTTTCGACGAAAGAACGCGGCGGACAGAAAAAAGTTGCTCTTTCTTTAAGTAAATTTCATAAATTTGCATGGAGAGTGTCTTGAGATTATGGTACAAAGCGCGAAACAGTACGCTTGTTCCTTTATGTAATTTTCATCTCAAAAATATTACCCTTCGTTACGTTAAGAGGTAACTCAACCTTTCGTTGCACTTGTCTTGTAAAAAAATACAATTCTCACGAGTGCAACAATGAAATGACATTGAATGAAACTCTGTAAAATTTCTGGTCAACGACTTTGAAAAATTTATTACATTTTAAATTTTATTCCATTGCAAATGGAAATAAAATCTTATCAAATCAATAACTACTGTGATATGATATAACATATGTATTATAATACATATCGATAGTGATATTACATAGATTTCAACCAGACTTCATTTTTTAACATCAAAACACTTTTCTCCAATTAACTCCAAGTAAATAAAAATAGAGCTACATTGAACTCATGAAAGTTAACGAGACATTCAAAAATAGTTACTGTCGAAAATAATTTTTTACCTTTATCAGTTCGAAAATCGCATAAACTTGAGCACAACCGGGAAACCGATTTCTCGTCTCGCGTCCTCGAAGGTGACGCAACGAGCGGACAAACTATTACTGTACACCAAGCCACGCGACGAGCAACAAGTACACGCGCATCGCGGTTTTTGCCAGGCACGCCAGGAACTTCGAACACGCAGGATTCCCTCGGAGAATGCACGTGGCACTAATGCACTCGCGCGTACACTCCGCTGCAACGTAGGCCTTTGCCTAAGGACGAGTATGGAGGGGGACCAAGCGTTCATTCCTCTTTTTCGGGCAACTGATAATTCCACAATATTGAGATTTTTGAAATATTTTCAGAATCTGAATTATTCTGAATTTTCAAGTTTCAGAGAGTTCAAATTATTCAAATTGAGAATTCAATTTATAGTTCATTAATAGGTAAATTTGCTTGTTTTGTAGTTTCTATATTCTCAAATTATTGTATACGTAAATTCACTCATTTTGAAATTCTAAGTTCTCCAATCTTTAGACTACCATATCCACATACTCAAATCTCAAGTTCCACAATGTCTGCATCTCCATATCCACATTTATAAATTCCAAGATCTATGTCTTTTCAAACTAATGAAATTTTCATGTGACATTTTTAAATTAACAAATTTCAAAATTGTTAAATGTTTGGACTTGAAAAGTGTGAAGTTCCTGATTCGTTCCAATAGGAAAGAAGATTTGTCGACGAGTGTACACGTTCGAGTGACGCGTTAAGAGGAGCGCGACCAACGTTCCCCGCATTGCGAACGCCTTGTCCCATGTAATTTTTCCTCTCTTTTCCGCTCGCGACTAGCCAGCCAGTCCTTTTTCCTGGCGACAGGACACGTTGCACGCCTCTGACCTCCCTCGTTCCCGTGTTCGCTAACTACGAACAATGGGCCACATGTGTTTGGTCGTTACACCAGCGAACCATCGTCGGTTCGCTGACTTTTGGAAAAGCGACCACCTCGCCTCTGCGCGAACACGCGTGTCATTTTTGTAAAAATTCCTGCAGCTGGCCCGCAACCGCCTCGCTGCACACGATTTCGCCCGCCGAAACCCGCTACCCGCTCGCGTCAAGTGCACCGGTTAGCGAGCCGTTATTTCACGTTCCTGCATTTTGCTAAATATTTTCTTCTCGTCTTCTATTTTAACTTTAAACTATCAAATTAGTCACTTCGCCACAACTTTCTTCTTTCAAGGTGGCTCTCGAAATTACAGTAAAGACAAGTGTTATTTGTCACTGGCTCTAATAAATGATTTTAAACGTGAACACAGTAATGTAGCAGAAAGCAGATCGATGTGCTAGCTTCAAACATTATTTGTCACTGACTATAAGTGATTTTTTAGATTATAAATTAAGGTTTCACTTTCATGTTTTTTAACAGATTTGAATAGGGTAATAATACGACAAAAGCTATTAAGTACTCTTTCACAAAATTCATTTTGTGAATTTTCACAGTCGTGATCATTAATCAAGTGTACCAACACAGTCAACGTCACGTCAAGAATCATATAAGATATTAAACATGTCCTACTTAAAAAAACCTCCCTACTTTAAGAAACATGTGAATATTCAAATCGTTACGTACGTTTCAGATCGCCATGAGTTATCCTCTGTTCCTCGATCTTCTGTTCTAAACTTGCACGAGTCAACAAACACGCGTTACGCATCAAATCGGAATAAATAAACAATGATAAGACACTTCACTTGAACCGTTCAATAATCTTGACGTTCGATCGTAAGATTCGAATCGTTCGATATCGGATTGTCGGGAGCGTAGAGCACGAGTTGTCGGTGTACCGTGAACACCGTAATTCCTTCTGCACTGTGTTTCCTTGACGTTTGCAGTCACGGAAAGCGGATTGTATCGGTTTGTTGAACGCGAACGACACGCCCTGACCCGCACGAGCCACGCGATGATCCACCTGCCTCGATCGATCCTCGTTCAGCCGCGCACTGACGCTCGATACCTCGCTACGATCGATCCTCCTTCGACCACGGAACACGTGACCCAACGTTTCCTCCACCGAACTACCTGTGCGTGAGTCAACCGATCGACTTTTCACCAATTTCCGCCCAATTTTTCTTAACACCCAACGATTCTTCACAGCTTACATGGTACATGGGTCTCGAGAGACCCTTGTAACATATGCAACGAATTACGTCATTGATAGATGGGAAGCTCTTTGAAGAGTCGAGGAATTACTCGGTTAAATATTTCTAATTCACGCGTTTGGAAGTTTAGAGATTTTGGAGTTGAGTTGCGAAAGAATATTGAGGACTTGGACATTTTTGGAATTTTTTGTGAGTTTAGGGACTTGAGAAATTTTTTATATATGAGTACTTGAAGACTTTAAGAATTTTTTTTGTTTGGTAAATTTGGAAAACGTAGAAATATAGCAATTGAAGAAGACATCTTGTAACAAAATAATAAAGTTTGAAAAGACCCAAATGATGTCATGAACATGTCAAACGGAGATCCCCACCACGGTTCTCGAAATTAGTACTCGCAATCTCATCAAGATTATCAGTTGTTCGAATTGAAGCGATAACTTGATCTTGCGTTCGATACAAATGTACTCGTGAAGAGCTTGTGTTTTATTACCTATTAGCAAACTGATAAATAAACTTGATCGATCAATGACAATCCATTAATTCTGCAATTGATCTGTTTATTCGTTGCATTCTATTCTTTCAATCTAATCTGTTTTGGAATCTGTACGTTCTTCTTTCTAATACATATTGAAGAATCACATACCGATACTAATTAACTCGGTTCGTTTAAAAACTGCTGACTCAACTCATCCATAAAATTACTGAAAAAGGATGATAATAATCAGAATAAGAAATGATTAACGTAATAACACGTTATTAAGTCACGTGAAATTGCGTGCTATCATTTGTAACACACGAACCATTCATTTTCCAAATTAACCTCCATAAAACAAAAGTAATACTTTCAGGTATTTTACCAGTAATAAAATTCAAGTACAACAAAATGTAACAAATATTACAAAAATTTCAATTGTGGAATTAGTCATTTTGTGGTCGACTCAAACGACGTAGATTCTATTCGACTATACCTCACAATTCCCAAACGTATAATGTACAATTCTCTGATTTCATGTGACATGATATCAACGCTACCGCGTACACATGTATGACATCATAAGAGCTACCAGACCTATCACATATGCCTCGGTAGCATATTTTGATCGCCTATGCGTTACAAACTCAACATTTCAATTCGAAAAACTTGAGTAAAAATTTGACGTAAGCTGTGAAGAGTTGGAACATCGATTATTACCTTCACATCAATATTATTAATTTGACTATATTGAAGTATCAGCGTTTGAACACCTTCTGAACGCTGGAAGCACAAAGATCGAATCAAGATGCACGTCCAGCACAAAATAACCCGACACTCGAATACTTTCGTAACCTTTTATCGACCTCGCAACTCGAATTCGACCCGAGGATCGTAATTGAAGGAGAGCGTGGCAGGAGCGTGGAACCGGTCCGAAGGCTTCGATAAAGCAAGGAATCTCGGGTAGAATTTCAAAAGTGGATTCTCGTCGTGGGTCTACGAGATCGAAAGAAAGTAACACAAGTAACCGATCGGGCAGTCAACGAGCGTTTGACCCGCGTGCGTTAGGTTCTTATCGTTGGGTAAACGCCTGGCGAGCTTACGCGGTCATCCGAGTAACGCGATGGACTCGTTCGTCGACGTGCCACGAGGCTGCTTAACGAGACGACTAATTCGAACGAGTTAGGTCCACGAGGAGTTAGTTGGTGGTGGTGGTGGCAATGTAAGAGGAGTAGGAGGAACAGACACCGAGGGAGAGGAGGACGGAACCCGGTCCTCGCCACCCGCACTACCATCGGACAATGAGAACGAAAGAGGCCAACAAACCGGAGGAAAAGAGGAACAGAGAGACGTAGAAAGTCGCCCGACTCGTATACGACCAGCATGTTGCGAGCACGGAAAGATGACCCCAGAGATGGGACTAGCTTGCTGGGACCCCAGACCGAATTATGTTCCCTTCTAGGCTGGGATAGAGAGAACTATTTAGAACATTTGTGAGGACGGTCTTCAACGTGCTTCTTCTTTAGGCTTTCTTATTTGCATTCACGTTTTTGTACTTCGATTGTACGATTGATAAATTTTGACATTTTTAGACTTTTGAGGAGTTGAGTCGATGAAGAGACAAATTTTGGATGATCGAACAGTAGGTACAATTTGTTAATATCTAAATGAAGAGGTTGCATTTTCAAGTTCAAAAAGTTCTAATATCAACGTTGAAATTCTTCAGTTGCAAACTGAATATCAAAACTTGATTCTTCATATTAAAAATTGATTCTTTATATCAAAAATTATATTCTTGAACTACTTCGTAAAATTTAAAATGCTTGTCTATTTCTCACATCTCCAAACTTCTAAATTTACAACTCCTGAAATACCCAAATCCCTAAATCCCTATGTATCCATGTCAAGTCCCAAAATTATCTATTGAAGCAGTTGATACTCAAGTGTATATTTTCATAAAGAACAGTTCTACCATGTAATTTTAATGTGAAAAAAATATGTGCTGCATTTAAGTTTCGGAGGCAAGAAAGTTTCAGGTACCTGAAAACACGCAAACGACCCTGAAGAAGAATTGAATGGCAGCGGAGAGGACAATGAATCCACGCTTACGTGGATCGCGCTTGCATATGGCGAAGGTTCGTTCCAACTGACCAGACACGACCATTGTGATGTTAATGAGCAGAAGACTCGCTTTCCTGAAAGTCGCGTTTTTGTTCACGAATTGCGTGCTGTGTATAAGTATCTTGTGCAGAACAAATAGTATGAAGAGTTCAGGTTGACACCAAAAGTGACTGCTGTTGAACGGACAATATGAAGACTTCGTGTTAATAGTGAAAATGTCTGCTGTTGAACGGACAGCTATATCAAGATTCGAAGTTAATACCAAAAATGTCTGCTGTTGAACAAACAATAATATGAAGAATTAAAGTCAACACCGAAAATGTCTGCTGTTAAACGGACAGCTATATCAAGAAATTAAGTTGATACTAAAATCGTCTGTTGTTGAACAAGCAATAAAATGAAGAATTCAAGTCAACACCGAAAATGTCTGCTATTAAACAAACAGCTATATCAAGAAATAAGTTGATACTAAAATTGTCTGTTGTTGAACAAACAATAAAATGAAGAATTCAAGTCAACACCAAAAATGTCTGCTGTTGAACGGACAGCTATATGAAGAAATTAAGTTGATACTAAAATCGTCTGTTGTTGAACAAACAATAAAGTGAAGAATTCAAGTCAACACCCAAAATGTCTGCTATTAAACAAACAGCTATATCAAGAAATAAGTTGATACTAAAATTGTCTGTTGTTGAACAAACAATAAAATGAAGAATTCAAGTTCACATGAAAATTGTTTGCTATTGAACAAACAACAATATGAAGACCTGACGTTGATACCAAAAATGTCTGCCGTTGAATGAACAACAAAATGAAGAAATCAAGTTGACATAAAAATTGTCTGTTGCTGAAGAAACAAAAATATGAAGTTTTGAAGCAGACACCAAAATTGACTGCTACTGAACAAACTTAACCTTGCTGCTCTCTCCACAAAAAATTAACATAAATATATAAATTATTATACCTAAATTAAAAATTGAAATCAAACCAATAGATGATGGAAATAAAACGTACCTCACAAAGAAGACGAAATACTAACCAAAATAGCTAGCCAAGCGTTTAAAGCAAAAAGTTGTAAAAAAAGTATGCAATTAAAAATGTGGTGTCCAGATGTGATCATTAATTCAAATATATATCGTCACGAATAAATATCATAGTTATAATAAAGTTAAATTTTGATTATCATGTTAATGGATCGAACAGGTCAGTGCTACTCATCGAGTGACGCCGGACAACGCGGTAAACAGATTCTACAGAGTGTATGACTCCTCGCACACGTCACAATCGTTGCAGAGCTGTCGGCAAGTTCGTTAGTCTGGTGTTCTGGGAAACTTCTTGGAGGTCATGACTAATCCATTCTGCAGCGAAGGAAACGGTACGTGATCCATTAAAATGCAAGACGCGCGCGAGTGAACACGACAAAAGCTCCGTTGCTTCCGTTCAAGATCAACAGACGCAAGTGAACAACAACCAGTAATTGTAGCAGTTCGTAAAAATAAGTGCAGGCGTGAAGCCGAGGAATTATCTATTTGCTTTGTTTCAGATTATTTCGTGATCTCGATTGGTACTTTGTGAAATTGAGATTGCTGCGGGCATCGATGTCTCTGGAGAGGAACTTGAATGTAAGAGGGTTGAAGGATTTGCAGATTTTATTGTGTTACTACAGTGTATAGTTTGGAATATTTATTTGCACATATGTGTGTATTTTCAAATTTTGAATTGGCACAATCTTCATGGTTTCAGGTCCCAAATTTTTTAAATTTCTGAATCCTCAAAGGTAATGTTTGCTAGATCATAAGATTTACAAGTCTCTAAATGACATAATTTCAAATTCACGAATCTCTAAATGTACACCTTGCAAACTCCTCAAGTCTCTAAGTTTCCAAATCTCTGAAGCTTCAAACTTTGACTTCTCCAAATCTCTAAATTTCCAAATCTCTGAAGCTTCAAACTTTGACTTCTCCAGATCTCTAACTTTCCAAATCCCCAGTGCTCTAAATTTCTAAATATCCAAACCCCGAGTTCTCCAAATCACTAAATTTCCAAATCCTAAATTCCCCAAATCTCTAAAGCTTCAAACTTTGACTTTTCCAAATTTCTAAATTTCCAAATCCCGAGTGCTCCAAATTTCTAAATTTCCAAATCCCAAATTCCCCAAATCTCTGAAGCTTCAAACTTCGACTTCTCCAAATCCCAAGTTCGCCAAATCTCCAAATCCCCAATCTCCAATTTTCAAAAATTAATACTCGAAACCCTCCCAATTTGTTAAACTCCTCAATCTTCCAAATACCTTCCTTACCAAAACCCTAAATCATCCCAAGTCCAATCTCCAAAATTCTCCAAATATCCCAAATTCCTCCGCACCCCCATTTTTCCCCCAATTTCTATTTACTTATTATTTCCCTTATTTTCGACAACCTAGTAAGAACCATATGAAGTCCACAGTAAAAGTGTAAACATACCGGTCAGCAATGACCTCAAGGCAGTCATCCTATAAAACTCTAATCGTCGCAATAGATATCGTGTCACCTGTCACTCCACGTTCCACTTTTCAACGAACAAAAACTTGCGCTTGCAGCGAGTGAACTAGAAAGATAGGGTTTTTCTCCACATAAAATCGAGACTAGAGTAATGGAACGGAACGGAGGAAACAAACACGCGTAAAACGAGAACGAACATTTTCCCGCGACTGGAAGAAGCGACGAGATTATGACATCGAAGAGGAATGCATAAGCCACGGAACATGAGTCACGTTAAACTGTCGCGATGTTCTTTCAACGACCGTTTCCCTCGACTTTTTCTCGCGTTCGTCGAAACACCAGCTCATAGATAATTCGAGCATTCCTGTAATTGAGGCGATAAGTGGACTGCCTCGCGATTACAACTCGCTTGGGAACACTGGGATATTATCGCGGCTGCTTACAATTAATTTCGTAACGATGTTTGTCGGTTAATTAAAAAAACTCCAGTTGGGAACGGAAATCGACCTTTTCGACGTCGGAATTTTAGATGAAAATATGTTAGTCTCTTTTTTTTAATTTAAAATATCTGGATGGGTATGAAGATCTGGTACTCCCTTTTGAGGTTTTTATCTTTCATGTGGTACAGTAAGATGGCGGAAGATAATGTGGATCACGTTTGTCAACTTACTGACAAACATGAAAACTTAAAAGTATGAATGTAGTTGTTTAAACATTATTAATTTCGTATCATAGTGTAAAGATAATGTAGATATACTGTAGAAAGAATTAGTTTTTTAAGACCTCTTCAGGGAAACTCTTTTTGAGGTTAGGAAAAAAATGTAGATACTTGATGTAATTATATTTTAGTTATTTTAAACTGTTGCGATTGAAATAAACAAATACCAAAAACATTAATAATATACTCAAATGTGACCCTTGTTGAACTAAAAAAAAGAGACATTCATTGTCAATGTTTGTGAAGAGGTTAGGTCTCAATCTCTACATTTAAAATATTCTCTCAAACATACCATGTATAAATTTTCTAAATTCCCAAATTTGAAAATGAGTCACTATAACAAGTACTGCATTTATTATATCCTTGACAAAAGACTAATTTAACAAAATCTACAAAAATAATCTCCAAAACAAAAATAGTAAATAAAGTCATCACAAACGCTAGTGTTAACAAGGGTTAGCATAAGTCGAACATTGACTGAGAAGCAACAAAACGTGTACATCGAACAGTCGTGTTCAGAGAGAAACATAAGCTCGGTCGAACAACGAAAGGGAACCGGAATTTATTTGCAGCGGGGCTGGTTAACTTCTCATTGTGCCTCGTTTATGACCGTGACGGAAAGTGCACGCCTCTTTGTTCTTGAACGGAAGAACGCGGAAATTCATGCTCGAAATCGACGTTAAATTGCGATTCCCTTTGACTTGCAACTTTGAGCTTCTAAATGCGACCTGAAATTCTGATTGTACAATGAAAAGAATTATATTTTCCTCGTTTTTCCCGTACCGTGTCGTTTGCGGAGATTCGTTTTCGACGGAAAGAGGGATGATCGTTCTTCGACAGTTATCTAATCTTCAGATTTACCCTGAAAGTTGATAGAACTCTTCGTTTTGTTATTTGTTTTTTCAATTTTTTTTGGATTGAGTGCTTCAAGGCTTCTATTCTTAAATAATTATTTTTTAATGAAATTATTTAAACTATGATTTGTACTATAACTTTATACTATAACTGTTTTGTTTTTATGGATGACAGTAAAGTGTGGAGCTATGAGTAAATAATTATAATTACAATCTTGGAATATATAAATAATTATATCTATTAGCAATTTTTTAGTACGTCAACAACTATTGTTATTAACAAATTTTGTAGTACATGAATGACTGCTATTGTAGCTAATCTTACAGTACAAGAATAACTAGTGCTATTAAAAATTTGTTAGCACAATATTTTGTATGAACCTGATTATTGAACCCGCTATCATAAAATTTATGACAGAAGTTGCGAGTGTCTTTCGGATCAACCCCCGATTTCGAAAGCATTGTCGATGCCTGTTTGATATGAATCACCAGGTTGCTTAACAGATAATACACAGTGGACTTCAGAGTCTAAATTTAGCATCATTGGACCGAAGTTATTTTGTTTCCACTAAGTGGACTCAGATATATGCCCCTTCGAAAGCTGAATTCTTAGCACTTTGTAAACGTCAATGGTAATTTAGTCTGACCAAGAATATAAATTTAAATCAGGGTAAGCAAATGATCAAATATGGAAACATTGTGTAACTTTACGTACAATTATAAATCTTTAGTTATATATTAACAGCACAGTTACTTATAAATAAATCAGTCAAAAGTTATACTTTTTCATTAACAAAATAATTCAATCTGATTAAACATAATTTCATTGCACTCGGATTTCAACTACATTCTGAATTTCATAATTGAAATTTTCATGAATGAAATTGTTAACACTGGAATTTTTTAGAAATATCAGAGTATTTAATTAAAAAAAATTTTGCATTGAATTTATTATTAAATTTCAGTGCAACTCGCAGACATAGTAATACTAGAAACTGTGATTATGATAGACTTCTTACTTGAAATATTCGAGAAGCCCTGACGAATCTAATGAAATTCTCTTCGGTCACGAAAACAATTTCAAGAAATCTAAGACTGCACAGGAAGAATTATTTCCTGGCTGGTTTTTTCCAGATGATGAAACGGAGACTGAATTCTGATTTATTTGAAGATGGAGAGATCGTCGAGCGCTCGAACAGATAAACAGTGATAAGATACAGCGTATCATTTGTCAGACGAAACACTATGCTGCTCCCTGCTTGTACGGTTTGCTTTCTACTGTGACAGTCTTATTCTGAAACGTGTGTCTGGTATATTCAATTTGGAGTATGTGGAAAATTTTAATTTTAAATTACACTGTGTGGCTGCTAATTAATTAGCAGTTGTTTAGAGAGAAATGATGTTGTTTAGTAAGTATTGTTAGTGTGATACTTTGACAGCAATTCATATTCGTAATTCTCAAATTTCCATATTTTTACATTCCCCAATTCTGAAATATTCGAATTCCAAAATTTCCAAATTTCTACATTCCCCAATTCTGAAAGTACCGAATTCCAAAATTTCCAAATTTCAACATTCCCCAATTCTCAATATTTCGAATTCCAAAATTCCCTAATTTTCAAATTTCTGAATTCCAAATTTCCTTAATTCTCAAATTTCCGAATTCCAAATTTTCCTAATTCTCAAATTTCCGAATTCCAAAATTCCTCAATTCTCAAAGTACCGAATTCCAAAATTTCCGAATTTCAAAATTCCCCAATTCTCAATATTTCGAATTCCAAAATTCCCTAATTTTCAAATTTCTGAATTCCAAATTTCCTTAATTCTCAAATTTCCGAATTCCAAATTTTCCTAATTCTCAAATTTCCGAATTCCAAAATTCCCCAATTCTCAAAGCTCCGAATTCCAAATTTTCCTAATTCTCAAATTTCCAAATGCCAAATTTTCCTAATTCTCAAAGCTCCGAATTCCAAAATTCCCTAATTCTCAAATTTCCGAATTCCAAAATTCCCCAATTCCCCAATTTCCCAATTCCCAAATTTCCGAATTTCAAAATTCCCCAATTCTCAAATTTCCGAATTCCAAAATTCTCCAATTCTCAAATCTCCAAATTCGAAAATATCAACTTATTCGTCATGGTCGAAGCTAAACAAGCAAATTTTATATTTCCACACTTAACAATTTAATTTACTGTTAGCTTCAAATTAACAATTTTGTCAATTTTTAATTTCATCCACTATCAGCTTCAAAGTCGATAAACTATTTAAATCGATAACCTTTACGTTAAATTCTATATTTAATTTTTATATATCCAAAGATTACGAATAAATTTTTATCAGATTTTGAAGCTCGTTACGACATTGACAATTTTCATAAAAATGTTCCCTATCCACCGCTCGTTTTCACAAGATTGGAAGTTCGAACAGAACAACGAAAATTCTCTAGAGATTCTGTGAGGCAGCTCAGATAAAGGTGGCGGGTCGTATTATCGAAAATTCACAACCTACGACAAGCAAGCAAGGCTTTCCAGAGCGTAGATGCTCGTTTATCAGTAAAAACGAGCGTAACTTACGACCAACTCGATAACACTGTTGATTTAACGAGACGCGCTGTTATCCGCACAGATATCACGCTGATGCACAAAACCGGTAGTGTTGTGTATAGTACACGTGGAACTTTCAAATTTTTAAATTTAAAAATTTCCTAATTCTCAAATTTACAAATTTTTACATTCCCCAATTCTCGAAATTTCGAATTCCAAAGTTCTCTAATTTTCAAGTTTCTGAATTCCAAAATTCTCAAATTCTGAAAGCTCCGAATTCCAAATTTTCCTAATTCTCAAATTTCCGAATTCCAAAATTCCCTAATTTTCAAATTTCCAAATTTCTACATTCCCCAATTCTCAAAGCTCCGAATTCCAAAATTTCCAAATTTCCACACACCCCAATTCTCAAAGCTCCGAATTCCAAAATTCACCAATTCCCAAATTCCCCAATTCTCAAAGCTCCGAATTCCAAAATTTCCAAATTTCCACACTCCCCAATTCTCAAAGCTCCGAATTCCAAAATTTCCAAATTTCCACACTCCCCAATTCTCAAAGCTCCGAATTCCAAAATTTCCAAATTTCCACACTCCCCAATTCTCAAAGCTCCGAATTCCAAAATTTCCAAATTTCCACACTCCCCAATTCTCAAAGCTCCGAATTCCAAAATTTCCAAATTTCCACACTCCCCAATTCTCAAAGCTCCGAATTCCAAAATTTCCAAATTTCCACACTCCCCAATTCTCAAAGCTCCGAATTCCAAAATTTCCAAATTTCCACACTCCCCAATTCTCAAAGCTCCGAATTCCAAAATTTCCAAATTTCCACACTCCCCAATTCTCAAAGCTCCGAATTCCAAAATTTCCAAATTTCCACACTCCCCAATTCTCAAAGCTCCGAATTCCAAAATTTCCAAATTTCCACACTCCCCAATTCTCAAAGCTCCGAATTCCAAAATTTCCAAATTTCCACAC